CCAAAGAACAAATAATCGTCGTGAAAAAAGGACTCAGACCTTTGTCATGATGTGGACTGGGAGCTTTGTGGAAGTACAAGACAATACTATGGAAGAGGAATACCAATTTCGCAAGCATACGCTGAACGTTTGGGAGATGTCCTATAGTGGCTGCTAAAATATGATTCCACATCGACAAGAAGCGCTATTTATTGTCTTTCAATAGCAGGTGATTATAACAGTCTCATCGGGCATCTGCCCTTGGTTTTTGGATGCCATGTTACATGTACATGTGTGCTTCTTCTCAAAAAAGACCTGATTGGGCCAAAAAGTAGGCCGGCATAATCCGCTTACCCCTAGTAGTTGTGGAACTGTGACGTGCTGACTGTGTTTTATCCATGCTTTAGTGGTTTCTATTTCATGCTTTTCAGTGTGCATGTGTGAAACTTCATTCACTCTTTTTCTCTTTCTTTCCTTCTTCTTTATGAAATCGAGTGTTTCTTGAATACATGCCTTCATTTGCTACTAAGTACTGTACTATCATTGCTCTATGCCTTCTTTTGATGGTTGCTGGATTGGAGCAAAAACGATTCGCCCAGCTCTACCACACTCACTCGCCACAGCTCATGATGCTCCCTGGCCTAAGCTCAGGCGCTCAGCCTCAAGCTCACATAACCAGATACCTGACACTTGACAAGTAAGTATTAGTTGACAGTCTGCGTTGCTCATCTCCGACTCCGAGTCCGATCAGTATGACATGTCGACAGTGAGTCAGTAGATCTAAATCTACTCGACTCCACGCACCACGTGGTGTGCATGATTGATGGAATGATGGGTGCTCGAGATCAGAGCGGTTGATCGGGAAAAAAACAACACAGAAAGTCATGATCACATGACTTTACATGGATGCCGTTTTATCTCTTCACGACTTCAATTCAGCCTTCACGCTTCAGCCTTCAGTCTCAGATCAGGCCGGTGTATGCAGACTGCGCAGAGCAGCTAGCACTACGAAAATTGCAGTACTGTACAGAGCCTCCACACAAGGCCGGGTTGATCTACCGGGTGTGGGCTTCTGTCAAGTGCATGTAGATCTACTGAGAGTGAGAGATGAGACTGAGCGCTAGCTGGCTACATCTTCTGTACTACAGTCTGGTCTACAGAGTACAGTGTAGTGAGTCATGTAGACCTAACCTACAATAGCTACATCACACATGACTAGACTGTCTGTAGATCTACAAACGTGGTGTGTGGTCACGTTTTCACAGTCACACTCTTGCCTTGTGAGTTTTGCTTGATGCTGAGACTACAGACTTGTCCTTGAAGATACCCAAACTGACTTTGCGAGAGGTAGCTCTTTCATCAGACATGATTGGGAGTTTAGTTTATGCCGTCGCTGAATGTTTGTGAGCTTGGGTTGTTACGTAGACGTGGCGAAATGGAGAAGAGAGCGTGGAGTCGGTGGCGGTAGCCGCCAGGAGGTTTAGATACAATGATTCCCGCCTCGGTGATTCGGCCAGGGTCTCATCATCCTCATCACAGAGACCGACATAGCTATGGGCCCGAAGACTATTCCGCAACTACCCAGTCATCCACAGAAGCACAACAGAAGTATCCCCACCATCCACAGCGAGATTATTTACTAGGAAATACAAGCAACGATATGTAAGTGAATGGAAGGATGTGGCGCTTATAATGCTATGCGTCGCATTTGCGAAATTTTAAAAATTGTTGCTTCACTATCCACTATTGTCAGCATATTTTTGGCCACATCGACTTCCTTGGGCCTTGGAAATTGAGACTTGGAGTGGGGTCGGCCGCTATACGCTTGTTTTCAATACGACTGAACTCATCTTCAACCCAAGATTGAATGCTGCTGAATTCACGATTCCTTGTTTGTAACTGCTCTGCCAATATTCTTCCGTGTCTGCACTGTCCGTTCAGAAATACGCAACATTTCAAATTGGATCAAGTCTTTCTACCTACGAAGTAAGTACGGCTGTTGTTATGTTGTTGTGTCAGAAGGTGTCTTTCAAGCGCCAGTGCACTGTAACGTGTGTTATACTACGCTCGACTCGACTGTCAACATCGACGGAGAAGATAGATTGCGTTTTGTTACGATGATTATTTTATTTCCAGTGTACCTGTGTGTGAGGTCATCTCTTTGTTTTGTGTTCTTGCGTCTGGTGCAGTGGCGACCTGTCGCTCTGCGAGGGGGACATTCGTGTGGTTGTCTTCCAGCAAGGCGAGAAGCGTGCTTGTCCTCAGCCGCTGTACGACACACATCGCCCCATCGCGCGGCCGTCGGAGGCGGCCAACCCGAAAACCCGGGCCCGCTCGTCATCTGCAAGGAACATTGAGGTAGGTGTTGTGTTTCGTGTGCTGTCTTCGTCCCTTTTTGTCTCATAGTCTCCAAAAAAAGTGCTCTGAATCTCTTTCATAATGAAGGAAAGTAGCCGATTTGGAGAATTATTTTCGGCAAAGGGACTGATCTCCACCTGTCACGTGAGGTGTCATGGGGCCACCACGTGATGGCGGGAGAGCAAAGGCGAAAATATCAGTGTGACAAGTGGTACATGAGAAGTGCTTTGAGCCTGCACCCTGTCAGTGGGAAGTACAGGGTGTACTGGGGGACTGATTGTTGTACTGTCAAGTGTCAGGAACAATGCCTGCATGCTGTTCCATGTGGCAGCCTTGTGCCTATGGCCAAGAAGTAGGCATTGCATCACTGCATCAAGTATGCTGATTCTGTCTGTGGACCTGACTATGTGTATGTATCAGACCTGAGTCACATGATTTCAGAAATCTAAAGGCAAGCACATGTGACATACAGTACAGTACAGAAGGAGCTGTGTAACTCATTACTGGGATGCCACTAAGGTGACCTATTGTTTGCATGGCACTCTGTCCGATGGGCAACTGTTCAGTATTCAACCCGCAATACATATACTGGCAACATTCTCTAACTCAGCACCGGCCACAGAATCCATTCACCATCCATCTTGCTGCATATGTACATGTATGTGTCTGCCGACACTCCCTGAATGAAGAGGCATTTTTTGTCTTTGTTCTCTATCTCCTCTAACTACTTGGCGAAATCACTACTCTTGGTCGCTCTTGCTTGCCTTTTTGTGTGTGTGTGTGTGTGTGTGTGTGTGTGTGTGTGTGTGTGTGTGTGTGTGTGTGTGTGTGCATGTGTGTGTGTGTGTGGGGGGGGGGGGGGGCTGTGTGGTGGATAACAGGCTAGAAAATAGTGGCGGTCAATTCATCGGCCTTGCAAGCTGTTGAATGGTGTAATCCCAGCACAAGTTGCTATGTCTAACATAGCTGTTCGGTATCATCGCTTCCGCGATGGGCATGTCTGAGGTCTGAGGTGTGTGTGTGTGGGGGGGGGGGGGGTACGTGCGTGTGTGTGTGTGTGTGTGTGTGTGTGTGTGTGTGCATGTGTGTGTGCATGTGTGTGCGCGCGTGTGCCTGCTTGTTTGCGTGTGTTTTGCCATATTTCTGACTTGACCAATACTTAGTGTACGTTGTGATCTTGCCCCTGCTGTATGCAGAATGATCGTCCCAACTCGTCACGCCGCAGTAGCCTCTGCTACGCAACACCGGCTAACTCTGCCGTCACACGAAGTGCCGGGGAGCCAACTCCGTTCGCTCGGCCCACGGCCTCCTGCACCGACCCGACGTTTCGCCACAGGGCCAGCGCTGGCTCACAGTCGCAAGCCTCGCAGTCTAGCTCACAGTCCATCGTTGAAAGTCTAGCTGCCTCTCTCTCGTCATTCCTCACCTCTCCCAGCAAGCCTTCGTCTAACGCATCGGATGCGGATCAACACGGAGGCACACATCGATCTGCTGGCCAGCGACCTACATCTCCCTCTTTGTAAGTTTTACTTTATTATGTTCTTGATAATATGCGGTGCCGTGGAGTGAAATGCAACCTCGAGAACTGACCAGTCCGGGGACTGCGTAGTCCGAGCACTGTGAACAGCGGACTGTGCAGTGAACCGTGCCTCTGCTCTCTTCATGGGGTTGGATTTCATTCGCCACCGCTATACCATGTGCACGGTTGAATGCGTCTGTGGGTATGTTTTCTGTTTTCTTTGGGCCAGTGTGTGGAAGTAGGTAGGTAGGTACATTTTTATTTGAATTCGCAGAACCAAACGGGCCGTGTCGCCCAATTACATGGAAGCGAATGGAAACAGTAAATTAGAGAGGTTGCGCACAACGAAAATTCGTAGCGCCGTAACGAATATTTTTAACGAAAAAAGCTAACGAATATTCGTCAACCGTGAGGTTGCGCACAACGCGTGAACCTTTTCGTAGTGGGTCGACGCGGCGGCCGCGCGGGTACGAAGAGTCAAGACAAGGAGTTGTAAAATATCAATATTTTAGTACTCCAGGTGACGAAAAATATTTTCGTAGATCTGCTCTGTTTCGGTCACGTTTGGACGGATCTTCGGAGCAACTTTCGTTACTCGAACCCGGACGGTCGAAATTAGTGTTGAAACGAGCGTATCTATAACAAACGAGCGATCAGTTCCACTAACGAGCAAGCTATCGAGCGAGCTAACGAGTTCCATTGATGTGGCAAATCATATTATGATTATTTTTTTGAATAATTTTTTTTCTAAGTTCGATTTTTTTCAGCTGGTTCAAATTATCACCGCCGGCATTTGGGGTTGCTGCTGCTTCACTTCGGACTGCTGTTTGGTGTCGAGATGTCTTTTCAGCGCCGTCGTCGATTAGCCTTTGTAAGAATAGACCGTTTTGCAAAGATTGCAAGTAGCCCTGGTCTTCGCTGCATCGCGGGAGAAAACTTCTAAACGACTGAGCGTAACTTTCACTCGAATGGAGACGTGACCGAAGCATATCCTGCGACAGGTCAGCAGATGCGGAACAAGACATCAGTAGAGTCCACCAAAGCTGTAACGACAACTGAACCAACTCAAGTGTCGTGCAGGCATACAGTCACCTGTAACTGCGAGTGATTTTCACTTTGCGCGGGATCGGGACTGGACTCTCGATCGACCAGGGAGGCGTAAAATATTTTGACTCCCTGGTCGATCGAGAGTCCAGTCCCGATCCAGCGCAAAGTGAAAATCACTCGCAGTTACAGGTGACTGTATGCCTGCACGACACTTGAGTTGTTTCAGTTGTCGTTGCAGCTTTGGTGGACTCTACTGATGTCTTGTTCCGCATCTGCTGACCTGTCGCGGGATATGCTTCGATCACGTCTCCATTCGAGTGAAAGTTACGCTCAGTCGTTAAGAAGTTTTCTCCCGCGATGCAGCGAAGACCAGGGCTACTTGCAATCTTTGCAAAACGGTCTACATGTACTGCCATGTGTACGGAGTACGGTGTACGGTGTTCGTTAGTGCAAACGAGCTGGCCGCACAAACGAGCCGAGTTTCTGGCGAGCGAGCTAACGAGTATCCGGTGAGATCGTTTCAACACTAGTCGAAATCTAACGAATTTTCGTTGTGCGCCACCTCTCTACTATTGTAGGAAATAGCCTAACATGATAGCAGGGTGTAGTACAAAGCAAAGAACGCTCAGTCAATGAATAACGTTAACGTTAGAATACAACAACGGGGAGGCGGTAAACAGCACATGACTGGTACTGTGGAGTACCGCAAACGTTCAAAGATAGTCACTTCTAGTAGCTTCAGGGAGAGGTGTATGTGATTTAGCTTGATGATTAGATTGTCTTGATGGCAATGCGTTCAAATGCAAGACTGGCCGGACACCAGCAAAAGTAGACATCAATTCGTGTTTCTATGCACCCATGCGTGCCGGAGATGGCACTGCTTTAGCTTCCCGGGCTGGTATCAGAGGGAGCTCCGAAGATCAGACTTTGGTTGTTTGCTTTGTGTTGCAGGTCTGTGGCCAGTCGGTGTTCAACACCTAGAAACCCAGCAACAAGCAGTACTAGCTCTAACAGCTGGTATGAACTTCCACTGCGCGAGCCACCCAACACGCACGACACTTCTCCGGCAACCGCTGCCAAGGTTAGCTCCATTGTTAGATATTGAATGCGTCTTCACCTTGTACATTGTCTCTGATTGGACAGCTGCACTTTCGATGCATTTCTAGTATTCATTGCTACTGTGTGTTACCGTCGGACAACATTTCGATTTATTGTTACATGTACGTTCTATAACCCTCAGCCTGTGTTCCCATTCGTTTTCTAGTTCTATACTTACTGCCATGACTTGTCCCGTTTACTCGAACTCGCGACTGTCCTCCACGTAGTACAGTAATGAAGAGTAAGCGTCTACATCACGACGGCTGGGGTAGATATTCCCACCAGCCGTACGCGACGCAGAAAATGCTAGTGTCAGGATAAGGACATCGTGGAGGCGAATAGAGACATACCGTAGAAGTCTCCCGTACGTAAACGAAAGCAATACGACGGGAAAAGAAGAAGACTGTATAAGCATAAACGGGACAAGTCATGGCAGTAGGTATAGAACTAGAAAACGAATGGGAACACAGGCTGAGGGTTGACTTGACATAGAACGTACATGTAACAATAAAATTAATCGTAATGTTGTCCGACGGTAACACACAGTAGCAATGAATACTAGAAATGCATCGAAAGTGCAGCTGTCCAATCAGAGACAATGTACAAGGTGAAGACGCATGCAATATCTAACACTCCCACCGTTGAGGTACAATATCTAACATACATGGACATTGTGCTATTTAGCAACACGTCCCGTTGGTCACTCTTTCCCCCAGACTGTCGAGCATTTGATTTGAGCACTCAGGGTGCATCCCATGTGATTTGTATGATGCGTACATACTCTTGTCCGATAGCTTGTACAATGTCTGCACCGTCTGCTGCAGATCTCCGATCACAAGCTGCTGGGTGAAATGATCGACTCGCTGCCGATGCGCGGATGTCAGGCATCCGTCAAGATCCACCAGTTGAAGTGAGTGCGGTGGTCATGCGTTTGAGTCTGCGGTGTTCTCCAAAGATTGTGCGTGCCAGTCCATTGCGTATGGTTTGCCTTGAAGATGGGTGGGTGGAAGCCCATGACATGACCCTGCACGATTGCAGACTATTTGACCAGGGGTGGTATTTAGCGTGTGATCTTACCTCTATACTCCGTTGTCTTTCTTGCTCAATGTAGGAGCCCGTCACGCCTCATGATGACGTACAACTTCACGATGTACGTTCGGAAACAAGGTCGCGGAAGCCCAACGTGAGTAGCCTGCACGGTTGTCCTCGAAGACCCCAGTGTTTTAGACGGTAAAGGGGAGAAGAGAATCCCCGTCTTTCCTTTCCCTAATGGAATCTGAGCACGGCACATTCCGGTGGCATGGTGAAGTTCTGGAATGGTCTTGTTGTGTATGGTACACTGTTACCAGCTGTCATCCTTGCAACACAACATTCTGCAGTCTGCACCCTTGGTAGAATCCCCATGTCCGGTCAGATTCTGGTGTACATGTAGTGGCTGGAACCCTTGCAGTGCAATGCGCTGTGTGTTATGTAGCACCGTCTTGCGACACATCGATACCTTGGACTCGTATTTCTGTAGGGAATCTCGTGACTTACAGTAAGTCCACGAATTTTCGGTCCATTCTAATTTCGGCCTCCCACGGCTAAACACATTTCAGCTGCATCAGATGTTCGGCGCGTACTGCTTCTGCATGTATACACTGTCACACTGAACCTTACAAAACAAAATTCTGCCTCAACAAATGTTCGGCCAAGCGTGACCAGGCCCAAAATACTAGTAGCCGAAAATGTATATGCGCCGAGTATTTGTTGACTGACCGTACTTGAGGTACTTCTGTAGTACTATTGTGTGCCTTGCAAGGTACGTGTGTGAGTTCTGCTTGGGGACCTTGTGAATGTCTGTCTTGTTTGCTTCTGTATCTTTCCGTGTTTCGTTTAGATCGGACGATTCCTTTTGCGTGTCGTCGTGTTCATCGTACGGACCCGAGTCCACGACTTCTCCTCTACGTATGTTACAGTCGGTCGAGTGCCTGCTTCGAAGATGTGCATGATGTGTGCCGTTGCCTGTGAAAATATACAATGTACAAGAGCTTTTATGTGCCTTCTACGTTTTGTCACAATTCGTGTGAATGTGATGGGTGCAGATAGCTTGTACAAAGACTAGTAATGCTAGTTGAATCAAACTGATAATCATAGTAGCTTCCTGGTGCATCTGACAACTGCTGAAACTAATCGCTTTGGAACCACGAAAAACTATAGCTTGCTCTTGGTAGCGTGTTGCACAATTGTTTCCCAAGCTGTGGTAGAATTTTTTTAAAAGTGTTTATGTGTTTGGTGTTGTGTTTGAATGGAATCTGTACAGGATCCTCGACCGAGTTTCTTCACAGCAGCTCCAACATGTTCCGTTCCGCATCGGATCAGGCCCTGGCACACTCTGACATGTTCTCCACGTCGAGTCACGACACGCGACGGCGCCCCTCCGCTCTGCTAACCAGCTACCGGCCGTCCATGACAGCCAGCAGTCGCCTGGCCACCCCGGTTTCCACGCCGCAGACGAACGGTGGCGGTGCCGTTGTGGGTGGTGCGAGGTCACGATCGAGAGCGGAGAGTGCCCGAGCTGCAACCCCCGGAGGAGCACACCTGACACCGGCGTCCAGCATGTCCTCGGTGGGCAGCAGCGGGTACAACAGCCTGCACGAGCAGCGCATGAGCGGAAGCGACGGCGTCTGGTCGCAGGATGAAGAGGTGAGTGCGTTCGCATTGTGCGTGTGCGTGTGTTTGTGTGTGCCTGTGTGTTTGTGTGCCTGTGTGTGTGTGTGTGTGTGTGTGTGTGTGTGTGTGTGTGTGTGTGTGTGCGCGCGTGTGTGTGTGTGTATGAGTGTCAACTTTTTTTGTTTTGATTTTGTTTTTGCGAAGACCACTTAATGCGAGAGTGTGTTGTGTTTCATTATGTTTATGCGTTGTGCAATGTGACGCAAGGGATCTCACCTGTCTACGGCTGTCTGTGTGACTTTCTGTGTCCATCCTTCCTACACCGAGCATGAGCTAGCCGCCTTGTCCACCAGCATGCCTACATCATGCACTAGCAACGGGACAGTTGACGAATTCAGTTTGGCACTATGTGACTGTGACGACATGTATGCGTTGGCGCGTGCTTGTCTTGAATGCAGCCTGTGCCCATGAAAGCGTTGAGGTTTGCTGTCGTCATCCTTATTGAGACTCCACCTGAGAACAGGTGAGACGCATTTTCACTACGGCAGGCGTTGTTTGGTTTTGGAAAATTGATAGCTGTACATTAGGACAAAAGTATACCTAGACTGGTAATGCCCACTATTGCTTTGTTGATGATTGTGTGTATGGGTGTGTGTGGGGTGTGGTGGTGCTGTATATGTGTGTGTGTGTGTGGGGGGGGGGGGTTATTAGGCGATTGAAGGCTTTTGATGTGCAAGCTAGGATTTGCTGAGTTGAGGGTTTGACGAGCTTCTTGTATGCTTCGGACTACAGTTGGAAGTCGGCAGGATGCATGAGCTCCAACGATAGGAACAGCCATTTACTTTGTTTACTTCCCCTTGACCTTGTGTGTGAATGTGTTATGACATTCTTGTTGCTCTCTGCCCAGCACTCTGTGTGCTTTTCTGCACACGCACTGGCCACTGTTGATGCGGCACACGCTGCGCGTGCGTGACGGCATTGAGTCGGCCGTCACCTCCAAGCTCTTCCTGAAGAACAGTCCGGCGTTTGTGGAGGTACGAGCGCCCTCTTGTAAAGATACGCTCCATGCTTGCTATGCGCCAGTCACAGTTGTTTTCACACACGCTTGCGAGTAGGCGACAAGTATTAGATGTTATGCGAATGATTTCGTGGGGCTGAGGCTGAGTTTGCAGAACTGCTTTGGGGCGCTATGTATGTAGCGTGAGTTGCTAGTGCAGCATTATGCCGTGACTTCGTCAAAGCATGCCGAATCACGAATGGTGATGTCATCGCATAACCTCAATAGTGCAATAACCATTAGTGGTGATGTCATTAGGTTTGGCGGCTTGTAATGCAAGTGTATGTACAGAGTTGTGATTTTGTTTGTCGGTGTGTTTTCCTTCTGTTTAGGCACAGGAAGACCTTTGTCGCAGAATAGCCAGCCTGTGGAGTGCACCGCGAGTTGAGGTGAGTGCATTCATATTGCCGCTAAGTGTGCGGTAAACTCTATTGATTGGTTGGGTTATGAGTCTTATGACTGTGGGTATGTGCATGCTTGCGTGCATGGCTGCGTGTGTGCGTGGCTGCGTGACAGTGTGTATGTGTGTGTGTGGGGGGGGGGGGGGGTTGTAGGAGCAATGCATGACGCCTGCCTCTAACAATATAGTGGTTAGCAGTGCTGTGGTGTGCCTGTGTATGCTATGATGTAGTTTTGTATAACTGCTCGTTCTTGTTTTTTTTTTGGTTTTTTGCAGTCGCCCGTGTGGCTGTCCCTGTCAGCATTCGAGTACTCTCGTCGCCAGATCGGATGCGGCTTTGTGCGCGAGTTTATACGCGTATCGAAAGAATTCCGAACGGGAGGCCATGACAGGTATGCCCGTGACACCTGCTCATGACTGGCATGTGTTAGGATCAGGCGAGTGAGAAGTGTGGCGAAAAGAGCAACAGTTTCGGACATTAACGTTTGTTTAGACCCCTGCATGCCAGATCAGACTGTGGCTGTTGCCGGTAAAATGGGTCCTGTACTGCCTAACACGTCAATTTGTGCTGTTGAATTTCGCTAATCATCACTTTTGGTAAACGAACAACTTCTATGTTTTATAACCGCAATCAATAGGACGGGTTGAGTTGACATGTGGAGACTTTGTTCATGCAACACCAAACGGTGGAAACAAAGTGCAATAACAACGATGAAAGACGAAGAAAATTAATAGCGAAGAGAACAGTAGTTCTATGTTAGTGATCCAACATTTCACATTTTCTGTTCTCTTCTTGGGGTGCTACTTTTATGTAGGTTTCTGCCATCGGTTCTCACTGCTGTGCTATCACACCATGTCGGCTGGGTGGCATCGGTACAGGACGGGTCGCTGAGACGCTCACTGACCGACTCCAAGCTGGCGTACCCCGATGAGGGTGACAAGGACGGGAACACCGCGACGACAGCAGGCGCTGACGGCAGCACTGCGTTTGGATACCAGCAGCCACCGACCGGGAACTGTGCAGTCGATGCACTGCATAGACAAATGAGGTAACACATCTTTGCAACTACAGTAAAACCTTCAACTAACGACCACCCCTTGGGGCCGGAGAAAACGGTCTTTAGTGGCAGGTGGTCCTTAGTTAGAGGTTTGCACCGCACAACCATAATATGAATGTGTGACTGTCCGTGCAGGTACAGGTTTTACCGTACTCGCAGACTGCAGTTCTGCTCAGTTTGTTCTTTGTTTGTGTTTAGTTTTGCATTGGTAACTGCGATTTGTTTCGGCGCATTATTAAGCGGTCTTAAAATGTAATTCTGTGTTTGTGTGCGGTAGGGTGTATGTTGACACATCTTTGCAACTACAGTAAAACCTTCAACTAACGACCACCCCTTGGGGCCGGAGAAAACGGTCTTTAGTGGCAGGTGGTCCTTAGTTAGAGGTTTGCACCGCACAACCATAATATGAATGTGTGACTGTCCGTGCAGGTACAGGTTTTACCGTACTCGCAGACTGCAGTTCTGCTCAGTTTGTTCTTTGTTTGTGTTTAGTTTTGCATTGGTAACTGCGATTTGTTTCGGCGCATTATGAAGCGGTCTTAAAATGTAATTCTGTGTTTGTGTGGGTGGGTGTATGTTGTGTTGCTCTGTCTATGACAGCGAGGTCCACGGTGCTCTGTGTTGGCCGCGTCACCTGGCAAGGACGGTGGTCGTCGGACAGGCTGCCGATGCGGTGGCCGTCATGTTGCACGTACTGACGTTCTTCATACGCAGCAGTGACATCATCGACACAACAAGCGACCTGCGAAGAGAATGCAAGGTAAGAGAGTGATATGGAATGTTTGAGTGACGGAGAGTTTGTAGCTGTTAATACGTGTCTTTTGAACTCTCGTCTGCATGTACAACAAGTAGATCCACACAGAGTAGCCTGGTTTTTAAATATGTCTTGTTGGTAAAAGCTGTGGGCAGCATGTTTCCAGTATACTGTATATTAGTAAGTAGACATAAATACACTTTCCCAGCAGAAGTTGCACTGACTACTTGCAACCATGTGCTGGTTATAACTGTATGGGAATGTACTCCTTTCCGCTGTGTTCTCTTCTCTCTAGGATGCGGCTGGCAGTTTCATGCGATCGCGCACTCCTATCCGCCTGGGTCCACCTCGCTGCTCATCGCAAACCAAGCCGATTCCACGCGACCTACCCTTCTCGGCGACCAAACAGGCATCGGCGGTGCTGCATCATCGAGACGGACTGCGCTCTCCGCTGCCCGAGGAAAGCAACCTGTACCAGAGCAACCTGGACCACTTCTCGTGCGGTGATTTCACACCTACGAACCCGGCGCTGACGGGGAGAAACCTTCACCGAGCCCGTTCCAGCGACACCACCCCGCCTGGTAGTCATAACCTAATGGAGGCAGTGATTGCGTCCAGTGGGAAACGCCACAGTCATCTAGATCTTCACCTGCGTAACCCTGCTGCATCGTCGTCTTCGCTGACGTCGGAGTTACGAGACTCACCCACCACGCCGCTCACCGTCAAGTCGCCCAGTCCTCCGCCGTTCCCCTCGGACCCGGCCGTGTGCGGTGAAGCAAGCGAAGCCATAGCGATTGGCGTGTCACCGTCAGGGACAGCTCAGCAACCCCACCAGCAGCAGCAGCAGTCGTTGCTCTCCTCCTCGCTGCAGCGACATGATGAAGCCATGGCTATGGCCAAGGAGACACTGAGTCGTGAGTCGCATCGCCGTTGGGTCGAGTGGATGGCAACCATGAAGCCAGTCAACATGTCCAGGTCAGTGGAGGAAGATGCGTATAGAAATTATAGCGTCTTTGTGCACATGGCCTCATCGTAAGGATAGTTCAGGTACCAGCATGTACAGATATTTGTAAGGTTAACATAAATATGTGTGTTTGTTTAGGCAGTCAGCAATGAACACCTACCTGCAAGAAGTTGTCAAGACTGATTGTCTTACAACCGAAAGAGCTGAGGATTCCTTGCTTACTGCGAAAATAAAATATGTGTGCATCAATGAATTTCCCCTCGCCTTGCAAATGTTTTCGATTATATCTTGCAACTTCTAGCAGCTGAGTGTATGTAAGCGTGTCTGTTTGTGTGTATTCATACGAACGTTCTTGCCGCTGTTGCCACCACCGCTGCTGCTGCTGCTCTGTTGCATTCCGTATTCTGTGCACAGTCCTCCCGGCTCACCCACTGCCGAGCAGAGACCGTTTCCCGTCGTAAGCCCTTCTGGCAATGTGTTCGCCCCGCTGCATGGAAACGTTGCGCGTTCTCTGATCGGCGGGTAAGGACTTGACAGCTGGATGAATTCTGCCCGTTGGCGCTAGGCTGTCTCTTGCACTATGAAGATCACATGCGAGAAGAGCATTCGGTATTTGTGCTCCTTCTTTGCACGGCAGTCTGTCATCCTTGGTGGATTTATGCTGTTGTCTTGGAGAATTCCATAGGAGGATGAAGTCCACTACTAATAAGATCGTGTTACGTCGAATGTGTGTCACTCCGGAGAGGAAATTGTTCGTGGTATGTTGTTTTGAGTTTGAATTCCTTGCCCGGGCCTGCTGTTGTTTTGTTTTCATTGTCCACAGACTATGTGCTGACTACCAGTCTGATTTCATCCTTCACGGAACAAGTCGGCCGCACAATGAGGTGTTGCGCCGCGCAAACTACGACCTGAAGCTGGCCGTGCAGGTACAGTGCTGTAGGATTTTGTGTGTGTGTGTGTGTGTGTGTGTGTGTGTGTACGTGTGTGTGTGTGTGTGCACTTGTGCATGCGTGCGGGTGTGTGTGTGTGTGTGCGCGCGCGTGTGTGTGTGTGTGTGTGTGCGCGCGTGTGCGAGTGTGTGTATATATGTGTGTGTGTGTGTATTTGTTATCTGTCTGTCTCTCTCTCTCATACATTAGTACTTAGCCGAACTACCCAACGGAAGCAAGACTTCATACTGACGACTCTTAATGTTTCCACCATATCAGTCTTATTTAGGATCGCTAGTAGACAATGGTCGAAATGATTTGTCAGTGTCAAGTCTTACTCATGCTGAGTGATTCGGCTACCTACTGTTGCACGTTATGCATATTCTAGCCGGACCTAGCTGGTGTGTCATCGTTTGGAGAATTCGGCTTTTCTGGGTGTCTGTCTGCCTATCTGCATTGGTCTATGACCCAATGTTGACATGCATGCGTACTTGTTTTATCCTCAGCATGCAAGCTATCATTAATCAACCTGTGCATGTGTGTGTGTGTGTGTGTCCGTCTGTCTGTCTGTCTGTCTCTCTGTCTGGGTGTCCATCCATGCATGTGTGCATGCGGGCGTGCATGTTTGTGTGTTCTTTCTGTTTGTGCCTGTCCTTATCCCACTGTAGCATTCGGTACTCAGCTGCCCTGTAGCCAGTGCGGTGTGCATCATCGCCAATGTCGACAGAAGGTAGGACTGTACGGATGCATGGGACATTGGCTATCTTACTCGTACAGTGTCAGGCGTCTCCTGGTGTTGCCGTCAAACCTTGTGATTTCATTGAAGTTGTAGCAGACATTGCAGTGCTGTTTGAATGATCAGTCCCGTGCCAATCTCCTGTGTATTCTCTTGTTGCCATGTATGTATGTTCTGTAGATCTTGTGAGATGCTTAGTCAGAGCCGACCCCCGCCGGATGTGACCACCCAGCTACTCTACGGGTAAGACATCAACACCGTATTATAACGTCACGTGTGCCTCAACCTCTGGCCGATCACTGCACCAGCACAAACCTTAATTAAATATGCACCATCAACATTCACGGCATTGTCCTTGGTGTATGTTGTTGAATGCTGGAAAGTTGAAATGGTCAAGTTTTTACACCAGTTTGCAAAACCCTAGAACATATTATGTGTCTTGCAAACTGGTGTAAAGATTTTATGTAAAATTGTCACACGTATGAATCCCTCTGCGAGTGTCCCTTGGTGAGACCATGTGCAACACCCGCACATCTTTCTGCTTGCTTTTTCTTTGTCTGTAGGAAACAGCTGCTGGAATCTCAGGCTGCTGTTGAAGCTAGTGGTATGATTGTAAACCTTGTCATGTCGGTCGTTGGTGTGTGGGACCTTGGCATGTCCGAACTTATGGTGAGTGTACTCGTGTTACCCGACCGGTCTTGTGGATATACGTTATGATGTCACGTGGACATATGCTATGATGTCACGTGGACACATGCTATGTTGTCACGTGGACACATGCTATGATGTCACGTGGACATATGCTATGATGTCATGTGGTCACACGCAGTGATGTAATAACTGGGGTGTATGCCCCCGATCACGTTGACATGCATTGTGATTGTAACGTTAGTTACTTGGGCCAACATGCACTGGTTCTAACTTACAGTTATATCAGACTAGAGCTGGCGATATTGTCAGCGTTGCCTATCAGTTGATCTCATTCAAGTCTTCTTCACTGAACTAATGAAAACCCAGTGCAATTATAATGTACTTTTCCAGTGACGTCACCACCAGTGAAACGACAATCCTTTGCTCAGTATGCTCTTAGGTATCGTCAAGAGTAGATAAACAAGAGTGTGCAACTCGCGGATGGGTTGGCCCACGGCGGAAATATTTGTTGACGTAATCTTTTCTACGATGCACGCGCTGCGAGTCTTTTGGGAAGTTTTGCAAATGCACTTGGCCGGGCTTTACATTACAAGATCGGTGCCTAGCACGTGTTCTCACACTGCTCTGCGGCAAAATGCGCGTGTTTTCTGGAAAGGTGGCGTCAACAAAAAGTTCCGCCGTGGGCCGGGGTATCTGCAGATTGTGCAGAAGAGATGCGGAGTTGCACACTCTTGTTTATCTATTCTTGGTATTGTGCATGCAGACGTTATGGGGAAAGGACGATGTACTCACATCATATATGTGCTTGGTGTTCTTGTTTTCTCCTCAGTGCTTGCTACATCTGGAGGATGGACTGCGTCAAGTGTTGAAGAAGTGCAAAGTAAGTCAACTACGTGTTTGTCATGTTTGCCAGGCCAGTGGCTTGCTTGCAGTTTGTGCATGCACACGTAGACCTATGGCTGTGAATGTGCGTAAGCAGACCAGGCCCGGCGGAATCAGTCCGGTTGGTCAGGCCATAACCTAGCCAACTTGGCCGCCAACGAGTGTTTACCACTGCGGAGGTCATGCGTATACCATGGTATACCCTCCGTATCATATACAAAGCGGGAAAGGCTAGGTTATATGGCCCGACCAATCAAAAACTGCTTACACCGGTCCAGCAGACACATGTACATGCAACTCAACGCTGCACACAGGCATGCGTGTTTGGAGTTTGTCCTGGATGCTCTCATTGCTCTCGCTTAAAACCCTGGTGTGCATTAGCAGGGTTCTAGCCAAAGGGGGGGGGGGCACAGCGCCCCCCTACTCTGTTTGCGCGCCCCCCTGGGAAAAATTGCCACCCCCTACTCATTTTCCGATTTTCGTGTTTTTCATGCATAGATGGTTCATAGAGGCACATTTGTCTGGGCAGAAGTCATCAGGGATTCGCCCCATACGTTGCATTTGGCGTGACAAGACAATATTGGAAAGTGGAAAAATGGGATATAGGGTAACTGTTTCCCATGGCCCCCCCCCCCCCCCCCTACTATTTTGACCTGGCTAGAACCCTGATTAGGTAACATGAGAATATATGCGTGTGTGTGTGTGTGTGTGTGTGTGTGTGTGTGTGTGTGTGTGTGTGTGTGTGTGTGTGTGTGTGTGTGTGCTTGTGCAGATGGCGTCTGAGTATTTGGCCCGTCAGCCATCCTACCAGCTGGATCAGCGGAACCTCAAGGCTATGTTTGGGTAAGTACATGTTACTATTGTGTGTGTGTGGGGGGGGGGGGGGGGGGCTTGTTTTGTACCGTGGCACTCTACCAGCATGGATTGCCGTGACGATCGGCTCGGTCTGGTTTAGCCTTAGCAATCCTTTTTCACAATACCCGTGAGCCGGAGAAGTCACGTTTTAAAATTTGTAGAAATCATGCAGGCATTTTCTTGCTTTACTGCACATCGGCGCTATCTCTTGCAAGCTAACAAACTGGTCTTGCCACTAGCCATCATAGAGTGAAAGCGGGCTTGGGTCTGAAGACAGCGCTGGGCAAAGGGTACACTATAATAATTATTATTATATTTCCTTGCAGTCAGCGTTCTGTCGAGTCCTTGCCTAGGGATACAGAATCAGTCAGTCTCCTAGTACTGGGTGGTAGGAGTTACTTTTGCCCCGCCTCCACTTCCAGCCAATATGCCACCGCCCCCGCTGTGCAGCATCTAATGGTTCTGTGGTATTCATAAAATTTAAAAAAAAAAATGGTAGAGTGGTCCCTCTATAATCCGGCACCATTTGTGCCACGGAAATTCTGCTGGATTAGGGTGGGT